GGCTGGGCACGCAGGGCCGCCCCTCCGCCGACAGCGAGGCCCTACCGCAAGCCTGCCTCAGGCTTCTTCAGCGCCTGAGGTGGAGGCCGCCCTCCGCCTGTCCCTACCCGATCTGCGCCCGCCCCGTGGCACGGAACACCAGCCTCCGCCAGGTCGTGGCTGGCTCGGCCATCTGCAGCACGGGGAGGGTGACAATGGACTGAGGGACAGCGGCGTCTGGGTCTGTCCTGCCTAGGGGTGAAGGAAGCGTTTCTGAGCGCCTCGGGAAGCAGCAAACGTGGGTGCTCTGCTTGGTGCCCCCCTCGACATGGCCTGGACTGTCACACTGCTCAATTTCATCTGTTCAGCTCTGCAATTGTGATTTCTCCCTGGTTTTGCCATCCTTTTCCCAGGCAGACCTTTGAAGTTTTGATGGGGCTGCGTTCCAGCCTTGAGGGACAGCGGTCAGAAGTGGAGGTGTGAGGGAGAGGAAGGCCCAGAACCTCAGCAAGCCCTTCTTAGGCCACAGGAGAGTCCAGTTCCACAGAAGGAACCTCAGTGCCATCCTTGGGCTAATTCTTGGCTTCTGAAACTGAAGCTGGTAGGTAAAATAAATATGGCCAAGTGCTTCACAGGGTAGAAACTTCAGCTTGGGAAAACTGTAATTACAAAACACTAAGTAATGCAGAAAGTGGCAAGTTTTGATACTCAAATTATTTATTTTTAATACAAAATACTAGGAATCAACATTGTTACAAATCTCTTTAGTGTTTCATGCTCAAAAAACCCCAAAATAAAACACTTTATTAAAACAGTTTTTCACTACAAGACTTTTGAAATTACATTTTTAAAGTCAATAGATCAGGTACTTCTGCATATCCATCATCAGGGTTATCTGAGTAATGGGATTGCAGGCAGGACCACTTAGGATGTAACTAAAGAAGCAGCTTTGACTGCTGGTTTATAATTACTGGTAATGGCGTCTGAGAAGGAAAGAACTTGGATTAGTTTCTCAGGCTGGCAACTAGAAAAATAACAGTATTTCTCAAGAAAAACTTCTGACCCCCTAATAATGGTGAGATTAATTTCTTCCAGGCTGGAATCACAGACACAAGTGTGTGCAGCCACGACAGCTCTACAGTACAATAAAAAGGTACAAATGCAAGCAAAAAATACACTTAAACTGTATTTAATCAGATATTGGCACGTTGAAGATACTAGTTGCAAAGACTAGTCTAGAAGAGATGCTGAGTATTTACTCGGAGAACTAAGTCTTGTACAGTCATTTCATTACTAGATATTGCTAAATCAAAGCCAGCTTTGTTCTGTCTGCATTGATTGCTTTTATATTGCTTTTTTGCCTCCTGATTGCCAAAGATAAACCTAGTAACAAACAGCAGCAGTCCCCTTTCCTATGAAATCTGGAAAGCTTTAGATTAAAAAAAAAAATAAATCATTCATATTCAAACATTGTGTTTTTGAAGAGAACATTATATTTTCACTGAGATGTAAAATGGGCAGAATGTGTATTTCCATGGAAGAGTGGTACCTTAATGACCCTGTCTGCCACATCAGCACTGGGACTCTCAGAGGACTAGTGTGTGTACTATGAGTCCTTCAAGAGGAACAGAGTGAACTAGGCTTTTGATTTCCTGGGTACAGGACTTCATTTCAACTCAAGCAGTTGAGTGAAGGGGTCAGGCGGTCTCTGGGAAGTAAGAGGAACACAACCCCTTCCACCTTTTGTACAAAGCAGATTGGAAATCAGGTGAACTGCTTTAATCTTTTTCACTTCCTAGCACTACAGGCTTGGTTTGCCAAGGCATCAAACTAATGAGAGGTAGTTCTTTATGTGTGTGCAAATGTAATAATAACAAAAATTCCCAAATAATTTTATAGACTGCTTAGCCACAGAACATGTTCAGTGCTGCACTGTTCAGCCCGCTCTTGTCCTTAACAACAGGAACCATCTCTATTATCAAACAGGCAAACAGTATTATATTCTACTTGCTTGGTAGACATTTTTTTTTTACCTCTGTTTACTGTTTCAGAAAGCTGATGTTGGCTGCCAGATGAAGTATTATTGTGACGATTTTATCTTGTGGATAACTTAAATTTCATATAGCAGTCTGACAAGCAAATAGTACCCTTAAGTCATGGCTACTCCTAACCAGTAAGGACTGGATTTGGGGCAGCAACCCATATATGTGACCCTAATGCCAATCTCCTAAATTAGTTCCCTGTGGGGTCAGGATGCCTTGTGGAATGAGAATTCAGCTTTCTGATACCTTTTTGTTTTGTGAATATTGAAGTGGTTTCATGATTTTAAAAAGAACTAACTCCACAGACCCTTCTGATTTGTTCATACGTAAGCCAGAATACCAGTGACCAAGGAGCCTGTGAAAGCAAACACTGAAGTTAGAGGCTTAAAACAGAAGGGACCCAATAAATAAACCCATTAGATTAAACTGTCTTCTCTTAAAAATCATACTCTTAAGCTTAATCTCACATTATGTCTTTAATACAAAAATCATAGTGTTGCATGTGGTTAGGGCTACCCAGTCCTTCACAAGACACCTAAAACTTTTTTTTTTCAGCTTGGTAACCCATAAATATTTGATCTGAAATGTTTCAGACTTGGGGGCTACTTCAGGCTGAATGCTTTTTAAAAATTTTTAAAGGGTTTACTTGTTCTAAAACCTTAATCAGAAAATGACACGGTTCTCCTTGCATAAAATTTATATCCTGCACCCATTTAGTTGAGATGCTCTTTTGTTTTGTTTTGTTTTTTTTAGAGCAATAGATTGGTATTTGGCAAAAGGCTGCCTTGTGCGTAGGAAATACCTTTTCGTGCTCCTCTGAAACACCCATTAAACATTCCCAAAATTACCAGCCGTTGGGAAATCTAGGTTGGCACATGCTCCACGGAAATTGCGAGCAGTAAACTCACAAAGACCTCATCAACACTGAGTGTGCTCTGGCTCAGGGGACTGAGCAGAACCTTCCTGTGACTGCTGTTACCAGAGGCTGCTGGCCACTGTTGTGGTCAGTTAAATTAAAGACGGGAGGCTTTTGCCTTTGATCGTAGCGCTCGATCTGGTACGTTAAACAGTGTCAAGACCTTGAAGCCAGCTGGCAGAGTCTAGATGTAGCCATACTGTTAAATTCTTACAGACTTTAAAAAAAAAAAAAAAAAGAAAAGGTAGTCACATGTAAATTTGCTATTGGGAATTGTCCCTTGCTCAAAATAACAGCATAGACAGATGAGTTCCAGTTCCAGGGTCCAGCTGCTGCTTGGCTCAATTGTACAGATGTAGCTTTAACAGCCCAGCAGTATGCAGGAGAAAGCTGCCAGCCTGAATGCAAGAGGGGCAACAGTGAGATCTGGGATGGAGGAGTAACAAAGCTCCTGGGATCAGGACAAAAAGAAGCATGACAGTACAAGGGATGCAAAGGGATTCCAGGGCTGAGAGTAAGAAGGGAACAATGGAGAGTTTGGGGAAGGAAGAAAGGAGGGAGCCTGAAGTTATAAAGAAACCACAAGGAAAATCACTAGTAATGAAGCAGAAGAGCATTTTTCAAATTAAAGAAGTGCAGGAGACAACATCGGGGAAGTGACGTTGCATGCAGTTGTGTCATCCACTACATTCACTTATGCTAACTGCAGTTAAATAAATAGAGACACACAAATAGTTTAGAGAAAATGTTGACACAGAAAGAACCCCTTATATTTTAATGCCACATTGTTCAGCTGTCTTGTAAAAAGAGTTAAAAGGCACTTACCATTCGCATCCAGGTTGGTACAAAGCCTTTGTATAGAGACATAAACCCTTCACCCTGTACAGTTTGAACCAGACAGTCCATGGAAGACTTATACAGCAGACCTCTACCAATGTGCAAGGAGAATAAATAGTGTTAGGACTACAAATACACAATTAAGAAAAATCACATCCCCCTTGAAAAATAATCTATATCTCATAAATTTGTACAAGAGCTCTTCTGTAAGCTCACTGGAGTCTAATCAGAACTGAAATCCACTGGAGTACCTGGGTACGCCTGGGTGGCTGTCACAACACAACTTCCCCCAGACATTTACTAAATCAGTAAAATGATTATCAAAAATATGAAAAGCAAATTTGAAACTTAGCACTTCACTCCCAGTGAAATCAGTGAGACTCAAGGTTCCAATTTCCTACTGAAAAGTCGGTTTCCAAAGTGTCCGTACCTTCCCTGCTTATCTCTCGGCTGGTTCATTATCCGGGTTTTGACCACGTCAGCAGGAGTTCCCAGAACAGCAGCTACCACGCCAGAACAGCAACTGTCAACAGCAACAGATACTTAAAGAAACTAATATTTATCATGACAATTTAAGCATTATGATTCCAGTTCTATTAATATATATTAAAACAGTTATCCTAAAATCATCAGTAATACCTCATAACATAAACTTGGTTTGGGAGGAGGCTTGCTAGTATTGCTCTCGCTCAGATGTCCTCCCAGTGCCAGCTGCCATCACCTCTGTATGCACTTCTGAGGCAGGGATAAAGGACCCACAATAGACAATTTATAATACTGCTTATATAAAGCAAATTGCTTCATAATTTAAAGGAGTAAAAGAGGCTGTTCTGTAGGGGTTTTATTGCTCATTCTTACTGTTTGCTAAAATTAAAACTAAATTAGATAAAATAGCAATTCTAGTAAAGTGAAAATTCCTGCCGTCTCACAGATGAGAGCTAAGGTGTTTTAAATGCATCAGTGAGGCACTTCCAGTGAGGACAGTTTTATAGCAATGGTTGCATCCTTTCTCTTGTGTCTTTTGTACAATGATGTCCTCTCAGGGGAAAAAAGAAAAGTATACAGGTGCATTTTATCAGCAGTATCACAACCAAAGACTAGAAGCTTCTGCTGGCATAGAGAGGTCATGCAGATTAAGACAGCGAGGCTGGAAATGCTCCACAGCAGAAAAGGGATAATCAGCACCTGAGTACGGCACCTGGCAATACTGTGAGTCACACTATTGTCCACAAGTGGCGTGTTCAGAAGCAAAAAGTGTTTCACTGAGTCGTAAGTGGTCAGATCTGTGAAGAAGATAATGAGAAAAAAACAGCATTGTCAGAAGTAAATGGTGTCTGTGCTGTTCATTACTGACAAAGGATGGAGGCTTGGCAAGACCTAAATTTCTATTGTCCACAAGTGGCGTGTTCAGAAGCAAAAAGTGTTTCACTGAGTCGTAAGTGGTCAGATCTGTGAAGAGGATAATGAGAAAAAACCAGCATTGTCAGAAGTAAATGGTGTCTGTGCTGTTCATTACTGACAAAGGATGGAGGCTTGGCAAGACCTAAATTTCCAGTGCAGCTCCTCCCATTGCACAGCTAGCACTCTGCCCCCAGTTTCCGATGGTGGTTGTGGCACCTAAGTCCTGTCATTGGACATGTGAGTACGTGTTCCCATCTAATACCGTCTGATTTACCCTACAAATGATGAAATTGATCCCAAATGGAAAATTATGCAAAATAACTCATTAACATAACCCAGAAATGTCATGATGAGGATGGTTCTACCTCTCCCACCTCTGTGCAAGTGTTACAAAAATGTTAGAAATGTTAGGCAAAAATGTAGATGATGTCATGGAAGTTTTATCATGTTCTGAAAGCAGACATGAGTAATGGCATCTGGGCATCTGAATGAAAGACAGTGATCTGCAAGTTAACAGGAGATCTGAGTTTCATTTCCAGTGTCCTGACCTTGGAACTTAAGAGCCCAGCCTACTAACCAGGATGACCTTCCCAGCTCTTTGTAGTGCTTCACAACTACCCAATGGAGATCATTTCCCACTTGTAAAAGAGTTTGCTTGTTTAAGTTTACACACTGAGACTGGATGTGACATTGTGTATGGAGAGGCATACCTTAGTTAATAGTCATTCTATAGCCCTCATTTAACAGCTCCTGCTGCAAACACTATACATCCAATGATTCCTTTACAGCTGCTTAGCAAGATGTAAGCTTACACCGCTTCTGATTTTCTATCTTCAAAGATATTTTTCAGTCATACTGCTAACATATCCCTGTGCTGAATGACGTAGAAATTAGTAGCCGTCATCCCAAAGAAATTTAATCGTGCAAAATTAAAAGTTGCTAAGGCAATTCTATAATATGTGCCACCAAGCACAGAGCAAGTGTTTATGGTGGGCACCCACAGATGGTGTCTTTCGGTTCCAAAGACCTCTCCCTCCGTACTTTATAAACAGAACCTCCAGAAGGAGAGCAAAGACTGTCCAACATATCCTAGCAGTTCTGGAGAGCCACAGGAAAGCTCTATCTATATGTGGAAGGAGTGAGTGCTTCCTGGATCTCAGGCAGCCACTTCACCTTACAACCCTCAGTCCCTGCCTGAACTACTCTGTAAGTGTACCTGTCTGCAGCTCCATCACACCATGCATGGCTGTGGACCTTGTCAATCTGGACGCTGACCCATGGACCATCTCCCTAGCTCAACCTTGGACCTTTCTTGTCACCATGGACCTGCTGGTGATCACTGAGCTGTGTCTGACGCTGGTAACCCTCACCAGACCTGATGCCGGTTCAGCTTCCTGGCTTGGCCTCAGACCTGCCTCGTCACCACACGCTTTCCTGAGGATCTGGATCTCGGTGGAACCTGGCTACCTTCACTGCTCTGCCCTGCTCACCTTGCTTGGGCATAAGGGAGCTGGGTTGTGGCTGGTGAGGTCCCTGCTCTGCTGGTCCCCTCAGCTCCCAGCTCACCATCCCGCAGGCTCAGGCACAAACTGTTATTTTTAAGCAACTTGATTTCCACAGGAGCAAAACAAGGCAGAAGTCACCTGCAGTGTGCTTCAAACAAGTCCCTGGTGTAGATAACCAAAAGACAAAGACCAGGGGTGTAGCTGACCTCTCCTGTCTTAAAGCGTAGATGCAACCTTAAGCGCTGCAGACCAAGCTATGAAATTCACCTCCCATGTTCACCAGGGCAGCTCTCTGGACATTGGGCACCCATCCAGCCCAAAGCCCCCGTATTCCTCCTTCGGACAGGATCTTCATAAATGCGTGGTGCACTCCTCGAAACCTGAAATCAATATGCAACTAATAAGTAGAGAACCCACCTACGGGGAAGTCTTTGCATATTCCATTGCTTTGCTGCACCAGGTCCTCAGATAGGAAAGGCAATTTATACCTGCAAGGATCTGACCCTCTGGATCTTTTTTTTGATCCATTTTTTGATCCATCTTTTGACTTTCGTACTGTGATATTTTACCAATGTGTTGGTTTTGCGTGGCAAGGTTT